TTACATAAGTGTTATGTTTGTCGTTGCCGGGATCGATCGGGAAAGGGGCGCTCCTCGTCGGCGAACACCGCCGCCGTTCTGTAGCTTCGCCTCAGCTGTTCGTGGTCTTCGTCGGGGGGGAGTAGGGTTCGAAGGGAAGAAGATGTCGACTGTGGAGGAAAGGAAAAATGAAAAGGAAGAGAGAGGGCGTGCGTGGCTGATCTGTTCTTATTCTTTTTTTTTTTTAATTCCACGTGGAAAATACTTACCGGCCGAAAATCGCCACATCGGATTATCCGTTAATCCAGTCAGCACCGTAAGTCACGCCGTCAAAGAATTGGACGGAAGTGGCTATATTTGGTATTTCGTCAAAAGTGGCTATATTTGGCAAAAGCGTCAAAGTTTTGGCTATACAAGTGTATTTTGCCTTAAGTTTATGCCAAACTGTAATTTTCATATGCGCATAGGCGCAAACCGAGATCCATGGATTAAAAATCCAACCCAATCCAAATAAATGGATACAGATTCAAACCCATGTATACCATCTATTTAGATTTTATACCCAATCTAATTGGATTGGATAACAAAATACAATAGATTATGTATCAACTTGAAACCCAATACTGGAAAAAGACAATACCAAATGAGCCCTTAATACAGACTCTTAATTAATTAACAGTACTGCTATCAACTTGAGGATTGAGAAGTTTGTTTTCTTGTATATGTTCCCCAGCCACAAGACATAACCACAACCTTTCTCCTTTGATTCAGCCAGCGCAGCATGCAGCTTAATGAAATGCACTTCATTAATCTCTAACTTTAAGTGCAATATCATTTTGTAACTAAAAATTCATTTTTAAAATTAAAATTAAAAATTAATATCACTTGCTATATTTCATTTCAATTTATTAATAACTTACTTAACACTTAACGACAAAAAAACAGCGTATAAGTTCATAAAATCAATAACTCATAAAGTTCTTCAGCTATTGAAACTACTGATGTTGAATTTCTCCTTTGATATTGACTAATTAGCTCACTCTAGTTATACCTAGGCGTCAGGCGACACCTATGTGTCTCCTTACTACACAACATGTTCTTGATATCTAACTCGCTGCGGAACCCACTAAACGAGGTATTTTGGTGTTACCTAGTGTGTTGGCGTGATTAGGCATAAGGTTAAAGGCGCTTTCTTAAACCATAAGTAGTAATACACATCACTTCATTTCCACTTTTAAGTTCAAAATTAAACTGCAGATTGAATCTATAGTTTACCATCTTCTTTAACTTCTAAATTATAGTCACTATAGTTTAGGCCATTCATTGAGACACGAACCCCAAGGTTACGGCCGGCCACACGATAAGGATATGTATATTTAATTTCAGTATGCAATTAAAATGAAATAACCTAATTACATTATCATCAATTATTCAATTAATCATCAAAACATGCACCTGAGTGGAAGTTGAGAAGCGGTTTGGAGGTTTTGAATTAATGTTTGTAGGTCAATGGTCTGTACTTGCAAATTGCAATTAAGAGAGGATGAGCCTGAAATGATGAACAACATAGAAAAATGAAGTACTGTTTGGAATCCCATCAAGTTACCACATGCATGCATCTTCCCTGTACATTAAAAAACCTACAACTGCATGCCTTTCTGAGTTTAAATATAGGCAAGGCAATTTAGAGAGAGTTGACTCGTCTTTAATTTTCACTTACTTAAAAGCAGTGAAGATAAGAATTATTATCGATTAAGGTTTTACAGAGCAGAGAGGCCAGGGCCGATTAATTTAATCTGATTGGTTTTATTTTGAAGGAGCGATATATTGACTTTGCTCTGATGTAGCTAGTACACGTAGGTACGTGTATGAATAATTACAAATCCAGCGAGAAAATGATATCCGTTCTTAATAAGTGAATATGATATCCGTTCTTCGAATTAACCAGATTCTAGAATATGATATCATATTCTAAATCCCTAATCCTTAATAAGTGAATCATTGGTCTTCAATTCTCTAAATGACATACCATAAACTCTCTAAAATGATGCATGTAGTATGTGGGATATATTTTGTTGAATCAGAACTGTCAATTATTATTTCCAATTAAAGTAATCTTTAGTCTATATAATTTAAAGAACTAAGGATTATGGTTTGCTTGTTAGGACTTACAGTATATATAGTACCACCCTTCAAAGTACAATAATTTTGTATTTAACAGTGTTTTCTTATTAAGAGTACGCAATATTCTTAAATTTATTGCCTTTAAAATTGAATTTATATATATATATGTCATACTCAATACACATTAAACCTAAAACTGGATGACTCTCTGGGAGTCTGGGTAGGCAATTTAGAGAGTTGACTTTTCTGTTTTCACTTACGTAAAAAAGCATATATGAAGATAATAATTCTCTTTCGATTCAACCGTTGAAATCGAGAAAAGCCTCCAATAAATGAATATCTAAAATTAACTGAACAATATTCAATCCAGCTAATCCTTATGCTAAACCGACAAAAAAAAGATTGTAAATGACGTTAACTTGAACCCACTTGAACCCTAAAACTGCTAGCTAGCCGCTCATTTAATTACTATAATTATATCCAGCCAGCCAGCCAGCCAGAACAGCATGCATTCCACAGTTCCAGTAGCCACCCCACACTTTTTTTTTTATATCTTCATATGCGCTACTTCATTTATATGAGCAAAATTGTTTTACTTATGAAAAGTGAAAACAATCGATATGATGAGAACATCCTTCAATCTCACGTCTAACTACAATCGATATAGTACTCTCTATTTGTACTGTGCTCTCCAAGTGTACATGTTCCCATCCTCATCGCTCTTACTAGTATTACAACGATATGATATCCTGATGTACATATATATTAACTTCAATCTTCACAAATACGTTATCTTGTGAACAACATTAATCTATTATCAGCAAATATCATTTGGCTAACTTTTCTCATACGATTTTCGAAAAACCTTAACATATACTCAGTGACGAAAATAGAACGCAGAGGGGCTCTGCAAGTGACAAACTTCAACATCTTCCCACAATTGAATTTGAATCTAAATGTTGAAGGAGGGAGTACAACTAGCTAGCAGTCCCATCTTCACGTTTTAATAATTTCTCTCAAATACAAATACATACATTATAGCATTAGATAATAATGAAAAATGTGGGGACCCCCTCTTGTTAACTATATTACTGCATTTAGCCTAGCTAGCTCTGTCACTTTCACTCTCGACATAAATATTAGGGTTAATACCACTAGAAAACCCGAACTATTAACTTTGTGTCATTTGTGTCCTAAAGTAATCGATATGACATTTGTGTCCTAAACTATTTGTCCGTTAGAGTTGACTGGCGTTGACCGTTAGTTTTTAACTGAAAATCTAGTCAGCGCTGATGTGGCATCCGACGTGGAATATTATTATTTATTATTGATTTATTTTATTATAAAAAATAATATACTAACAAAACGAAAATTACAAAATACAAAAAATTAAATATAAAAATACAAAATAAATAACTCTTTTATCTCTCCTCCGTAGTCTTCGCCGCCGGAACTCCTCCCGCTGCTTCTTCGTCTTCTCTCCTCTGCTCGTTGCCCTCTTGAACTACAAACTCCCAAACCCAAATCAAGAAACCCAACCCAGATCTCAATACCACAACGAAATCAGAAACCCCAACCCACAACGAAATCAGAAACCCAAATGGCCAACAAAATAATCGAAATCCCTAAAAATTTCAGGGTTTCTTTCTTATCTGAATCCCAACTCATATAAACAAATTCAAGAAGAATGGCATGGGGGAGTGGCGACTTACCTGATGGAGTCACTATTGGCGGCATCCTTTTCACCATCGACGGCGGATGAGGGAGAGCAAGAAGAATGGCATGGGGGGCGGCATCCTTTTCGCGAATCCGCAATGGAAATCTTAAGCACGATGGGTGATTTAGGGATTGGAGGAATTCGATTGGAATTTTGAATTGAATCTAAAGGCGACGGAGCCGAGATTGGAGGAGTTCGATTGGAATTTTTATCTGAATTTGAAGGCGACGGAGATGACCTGGATTTGTAGGGCCGAATTGAAGTGGTGGTTGCCGGAGCTGGATTATTCGCCGTTCGATATTTGTCTCTCCTCGTCCAAGTCGCCGGACCAAGTATCCTTTGCGGAGCTGGTGCTGAAAATCCGGAGAAGATGTCGATTGGAGTCTGTGATCCAGAAGTGTCTGTCGAGGAGCGACCTAGACCAGAGCCAAGCGCGGCTGTCGATCCCGCGCGGGGCGGTGGGGGAAGAGTTCTTGACGGCGGAGGAGGCGGCGGAGCAGTGGGGCACGGTCGTCGGCAGGGGGAACTACGTTCTGACGTCGCAGTGGAACAGCGTGGTGGAGGAAGTGAAGTTTGGGGAAGACGACGCGATTCAGCTTTGGAGCTTTAGGGTCGGAAGGGAACTGAATCTGGTTTTGGTTCGGTTGGGTGGTTGCGGCGACCGACGGTAGGGGTTAAAAAAATAGAATTTTTAATTTTATTATTTTTCATTAAAAAATAATTTAAAAATATTATGTGTTAATGAGCTGATGTGGCAGCTGATGTGGTGTATACGTGGCTGCCACATATGTGCCATGTAATCAACAGTCAACATTTTATGGTTGACCGTTTGGTCAACCGTTATCTATAACGGTCAACAAAATTGTTAGGACGTAAATGACACAAAACTACCAAACGTTGGGACACAATTGTCATATCGAATACTTTAGGACACAAATGACACAAAGTTAATAGTTCGGGTTTCCCAGTGGTATTAGCCCTAAATATTATTAATATTTAGATTGGACATTTCCTAAAGCCAATAAAGGGCAAAAAGGGAGAAAATGTGGAAATAACTCGACTGACCAATTGGGCAACACTACTCCCGCCTATAAATACCAATCACATCGAACCGTTACAAAAGCACACCTCAATACCAGAACTATAGTAACACTACTCATCCACATTACATATAACAAACATGCAAGCCGCCGCCGGCAACAGGCCTCACGCCGCCCTACTAGCGAGCCCCGGCATGGGCCACCTCATCCCGGTCCTCGAGCTCGGCAAGCGCCTCGTCACCCACCACGACATCGCCGTCACCATCTTCGTCGTCGCCACCGACGCCGCCACCACCAAGTCCCTCCTCAAATCCTGCCCCACCGCCAACTTCTCCATCGTCCCCCTCCCGGCCGTCGACGTCTCCCACCACGTCGACCCTTCCGACCACATCGTCACCAAGCTCCTCGTCATGATGCGCCACTCCATCCCCAGCCTCCGCTCCGCCATCTCCGCGATGGCGGACCCGCCCACCGCCCTCATCGTCGACATCTTCGGCACGTCGACCTTCCCCGTCGCCGACGAGCTCGGCATGCTCAAGTACGCGTTCGACACCACCACCGCCTGGTTCCTCGCCACCACCGTCTACGGCTCCTCCGCCGAGGACGAGGTGGCAAGGCACGTCAACTCGAGGACCCCGCTCGTGGTCCCGGGTTGCAAACCGGTCCGGTTCGAGGACACGCTCGACGCCTACGAGGCGATGGGGGACCGGGTTTTCGACGAGTTCCAGCGCGTCGGGGTCGAGCTCGCGACGGCCGACGGGATCCTGGTCAACACGTGGGAAGAGATGGAGGGGAAAACCCTGGAGGCTCTCAGGAACCGGAAGGCCCTGAAAGACGTGGTCAGGGCCCCGGTCTACCCGGTCGGACCACTGGTCCGACCATCACCACCTCTGAAGACCAACGAGCCGAACGACGTCGTAGAGTGGCTGGACGGGCAGCCCGACCGGTCGGTCATCTACGTGTCGTTCGGGAGCGGCGGGACCCTCCCGCGTGCCCAGCTGGCCGAGCTGGCGTGGGGGCTCGAGCTGAGCGGGCAGCGGTTCGTGTGGGTGGTCCGCCCTCCTCCCGTGGAGGACGGCGATGTTTCGGCCGCTTTCTTCTCTCTTGAAGAAGAAAGTGGGTCCCAAGGACCCCACCGGTACCTTCCGGAGGGGTTTCTCTCCCGGACCCATGACAGGGGGCTGGTGGTCCCCATGTGGGCCCCGCAGGCGGAGATCCTGGCCCACCCCGCGGTGGGCGGGTTCCTGTCGCACTGCGGGTGGAACTCGACGCTGGAGAGCCTGACGAACGGGGTGCCGATGGTGGTGTGGCCGCTGTACGCGGAGCAGAAGCTGAACGCCGCCCTGCTGGCGGAGGAGCTCCAGGTGGCGGTGCGGCCGGGGTATAACAACGGCGGCGTGGTGAAGAGGGAGGAAATCGAGGAGATGGTGAGGAGAGTGATGGTGGCGAAGGAGGAAGAAGGGAAGGCGATGAGGGAGAGGGTGATGGAGCTGAAGGAAAGCGGGGAGAGGGCGTTGAGCCGGAAGTTGAAGGGTTCGTCGTACAGCGCGCTGGCGCAGGTGGCGAGGGAGCTTGAGCTGAACCACCAGCGGGTGGTGGCTAAAGCTCGAGGTGCTTAGGGGGGAAACGTCAGTCAGTCAGTCGTCGGGGCTAGCTCCGGCGCCGCCTGCGGCGGCGGCAAGAGGGTGGGGTCCAGGGAATTAGCGACCCACGTATGACGTGCAAGAATGTGGGAGGCGGCCTTGTATTTTGTTGAAGGGGGGAAAATAATATGTGTGTTTCATATGGTCTTCAATGGAATCGATGTTTATTATGTGAGAATTTGTAGTATAAAATATTAGTAGATCTGTATTACGTGGGGAGGATGATTCTCTCTTGCTTATTTTCGTTTTGTTTGGTTTTGTTTATATGGAAGTGTCATAGTATATGGTGATTACTATGTGTTTTTTATGCTATTCTCGTTCTCCATTCCTCTTCGGTGAACCCAAGAAAGGAAAGCTGAATGAGCAAAGAGTTTTTCTAAACCATCCCTATCAATATTGTCAAATACGCAAATTCATTGCTCGCGGTTTCGGGTTCCCATGGGTAATATACCCGTCTCGTACATCTAATGTTACGTACCATACCTATAATTCAACATGTATACGTAGACCATAAGTTATAACACTAAACGAACATAATAAGTCATGAAATCAACAAAAGTACGACCATTCTTAATATGAGTCCAACGCATCCAATTCCAAAACATCCATTAATCGATAAAAAAGTACAATACTATCAGAATAATCTCCGACTTCGACACATCTACCGAGCAATGGAAAACTAACATAATGAGAAAAAAAAGTGAAAGAGTGACAGTGTGAATGGAGGAAAGAAATTAGTGTTTGGTTTGAGCGGCCACTCAATTACATTCCAACTGTTTATTTTTTTAATTATTCTTTCTGTAATTGAGAAATTTAAATATGATTCCAATATTTTTATATATGAAGAAATACTCATAGTGAGGTATGAGTATGGCTAAGAGTATGGGAAGAAAACTTAAAAGTTAAAACCATGCCCCGCACATACCCATACAGTTAAGGAATTCCCCCACATACCCACGATAATTAATGAATTTGATTATCATCCCTACCTAGTAAACTATTGCACTATACCATTATTAACTAGCTCTAGAACTTGTACAGCTTTTTACAGCTGTACAAATTAACTAGTCTTAGGCATATTAAACTAACCTAATCTCCATCATGATCAAGAGAGATTATTATCGATCTTTGCCTTTCAAGCTAGCGTCGCTATTGTCTCGTACTTTCTTAATTCGTTTAAAGAAGGAAGGAAGAAGAAGTTGCTGCCCCGTTGTCTATTCCAAAACGTCGGTGGCAATTAGTCGCTATAATATCTATGGACGTAGTCCTCTTAATTATTCTCATAGGCTGGAGGGCAAAGAAATCTCCTGTCCTGCCAATATTGTGGCTACTGGCTTGCAATATCAGTTAACAGGAATGTTGTTTGTCCGGACCAACATCTCATTAATGTAGACCAAGAATGGTGGACAATATCGTTTCGTCAAACCGGATTAAGCAATCAAGCCGGTTTAACAAGTGGTTTGAGTTTAATGGTCGAAGTGTGTTCAATATAATTAGTTTAAGTCGGTTTTAACATAATATGTGAGAGAACCTCGATCTCATACCAAACCGATTATGCATATATATTTTAAAATTAAACAATCTCATTAATTTGCATTCATATATTATCAAATTATTTCCTCAAAGGAACATATATATTACAAAATTATCAATCCTCATCTTCAAACCCGGTTTTGACTGGTCAGACCACCACTACAGGAAAACTGGTTTTTGGTCACGGGTTCTTATTCACGGTAGTTTTTCCCGTATTAAGAAGTATACTAATGTTCACGGTAAGACTTCCGGTAACTGGTTGTATAGTTTTATTCACGGGAATTAATTTATCTGTCTTTTTGTCTTCATTTACCGTGATTAATTGTTAGTTACGGTTAATTACCGTGAACAATGTGTCACTATATATCTTCAAATTTTATGTGAAAATGATATATTGAGAAAAGCCAATTTTAAATAAAAATAAAAATATTTAGGCTCTTTCATTATTCTAAAAATTGAAATTTTAATCAAAGTTTTTCTCTTATCAGATTCCACACCTCCAAAATGGGACTTCAAAAAACTTTCAAAATTGCATTCTCTTTAAATTGTGACTCCTTAGATTTGGCAAATAAAAAATTTCCTCGAAACAATTTCACTCTCCCGCTATTTGCTCCCGCCTCTACAATCCTAAATTTTGACTCACGAATTTTTGGCTCCCGCTATTTGTTCCCGCCTCTACAATCCTAAATTTTGACTGATGAAAATTTTGGCTCTCTCACATTTTCTTTTACCCGGCAAAACTAACGAAGCCCACTCTCCGACTCAAAGCTTTACCTTTCTTTCGAAACCCACTATCTTCGTTCCAAAAAAAAAAAAATCTCCGTATGAGCTTTTCGTACTACTGACGGCGTCTGCGATGGGGATCGATTTCAAGGAAGGATGTAAGAGCAATGAGACGAAGCACATGGCTTCGAATTCCAACTCCATGAAATCTAGTATCTATCTCAAGCAATGTGACAATCTTTACCAATTTCATGTGAGGAGATGTAGGAGCAGCTTGAATGTATCAAAGAGGTTGTTCGTGAGCAATATCAACAAGCATCCACGTTCCCTCTCCAGGATCGTTCGATTCGATTTGACGCTGAGGTAATTTGAACCATTGCTCTAGTTCTCTTCTTCCATTCTGCTTTCCTATCGGTATTTTCTTTGCTCATTTGGAATTGCTAGGGTTATGGAATCAATTTGAGATGTGCCCAGTTTCAATCGTCGACCTTCGTTTCCGCTGATTGCCTTGAGTTGTTTCTTCCATCGGTCAAAATGTTTTGGGTAGCTTTTTGAGGGTTCGATTTGGATAATACTCGGACTAATATCTCTTTCTATCAGCTCCTTAGCCCACCTCCTGGTATGACACACAGCCACTCTAAACCCTTTGTCTGGTCGAAGGGAAGGAAGTTTTGGAAAGCTATAGGCAGGAGGAACAACAGGGGTTTTAGGGCTTAAGTTGTTGGATTTTGTAGTTGTTGATTTATCAGAGAGGTTGCTTGACAATTTATTCAGATTGCTTTGAGAACTCCACTCGGCCATAACAAGGTATGATGCTTCTCTCTTTCTCTCTTTCTCCCTTTTCACTTTCATGTTGTTTTCAGTATAGTCCCAACATGCGAGTGAGGTTTCTCTACCAACTCCATAATATATATTGATTTTCCCCCTTTCAATAGTTTCTTAATTTTTCAATCCAGCGGTCTATTGACAAGTCTAGAGACTGCTTTTTCAAGTTGCAAGTCCTCTTGCCTTCAATGATTCGCTTTTTTTATAATCCATGACGTTTCATTAGATTTCTAACCATGAGATCCGCTTTTGAGTTTCCTGTTACGGGGTGGAGAGTAGTTGCTGCAAGTTATCTGATGTTTTGTTTATTTTGCTAACTTATGTAATATATTCTATTATGTGGTCTTAGGTTACTTCCCCTCCTACCAAAGATTGAAGTAGAGAAGCTGGGAGTTACCGTGGGAAATCAGTCAAGACCCACTATGTAGAGTTCTGTTGTGTTCCCATTGAAAGGAAAGTGGAACCCTGCCCATGGTGCTAGCAACCCTTCTAATTGATAGTTGACGTAATGGTCTGTCCCTGAAATTCTCTTATCTTCCTTCTCATATATAGTTAATTTATAGTTCTGTGGTTTGCTCATAGAATCTCTTTGCATCTCTTCATAAATGCAGTTGTTAATGTATCATGGAAGGATGCTTAATGAATTTGGTTTGTGATCCCTGTGATTAGTTAAATGTTAATGATGGGAGGTTGTTTCACACTTTGTTGATAACATAAGTTTAGGAAAGTAGTAAACGTTCTCTGCATTCTTTGAAGGTGCTTGACTGCTTCTATATTCCTGCCCCTACAGGTTTCTGGATCCAAGTTATGGCAGTAAGTTTGAGTGTATTTATGGACTGATTTTTATGTATTGAGTCAGTCAAGGTTGGCTGGAAATGTTGATTTCTTAGTTCCGTAACTTTGTATTACTAATATTACTTATATGAATTAGATAGGGCTTGAAGTATTATGGTTTTTTTTAGTCTCAGTATTCAACTTAAAAGTTAGACTAGCACCTCCATATCAAAGTATCTCTTACTAGTTACTACTCTTCATTTCATGTGAGGAAAGACTTCTAAGTCTTAACTTATATATCTTTTAGGCTAAGGAATGGGAAACCTTTCTCCTATTCCATGAATCCAATTTTCATTTCATCCGAGAAAAGCCACATGGTTTCATAAAAGTGTATGCTTTTCCTGATGTGTGATGATGTTGTGATCTTGAGACAGATATGTTTTGCTTCATGTTTTGTTATTTATTCAGAAGAAAATATTAGAGTTAGTGCTAATGAATTTGCGCTTGATGCAGGGAAAAATGGCTGAATTCTTTGCATGGAAAGGAACCTAAGGTTGATTACTTTCCATATGAGGAATTCCACTAGGGAGGTAAGTGGTTGTACAAGTAATGCAGACTCGTTTTCTGGTGATGCTAAGTATTGTATACAGAGTACTTATATGTGCCAAGTTCTATATCAAATGCTGAAAATGCAGAAGTTTGAGATGCTGGGTTATACTATGGCCTTTTGGTTGTGCTGGTTTTTTTTTTTTACAGTTTTTGTATATTTTTTTTACTGCTGGTTTATGCAAGTTTTTGTGGTTAATTTTACTGGTTATGTTGGCTTTCTGGCCCCATTTTGAATCTCAATAAATTTCTTCTTCGGCATCCATATATCCCTAACTTTCTTCTTCTGGTTCCCTTCCAATCTGTCATTCTCTCTCTTTGCTTCTTTGGATGACATTGGTAGCTTGCTTAACTTGATGACCTTGAATCTTGATTTGAGGGGAAGATCCCACAGCATGTTTGAAGGTATCAGAATTGTTAATTGAGCTACAGGTCTTCCTATCAAGAAGTTAAAGTCTGTAATTTACAAAAAATGTGCATGCATTCAGTATTCATGGATCTCTTGTCGAAACTAAAAGAGTAAACTAAGTTTAGTCACATATGGTTCCCATTTAATTTTTGTGTGATGTGATTGGTTTGAAACTTCCAGAATTGATTCTCTTTTTGTATTACCTACATCATTTGGGTCACAAGATGCATCAAAGGTTTGTCATTTTGTCCTTTTCAGTGAGCAGTGAAGGTAACAATTTTCATCGCTAATGGTTATTATAAATCTAGCCGATCCATTAAGTACTCACTGATTTTTAGTTCCTTCTCTTCAGGATGACAAAGGGCTAGTCTTGGGGAAAATTCATTGTTTTCAGCAATGCTTCTCCAGATAGGCTATTCAGGATTGAGCTGTTTGTTTGGTACTCTCCACCATTCAAAGTAGTCTGGCTCATGGTTAACCGGATACTTAGTGGTAAGTTCAGCATACTTCAAAATATTCATTTGTTAGGTGTATGTGATATCAAGTCTAACATTTTCTTTTGGCCGCATTATTGTTCTTTTAACAATATATTATCTTAGTAACAGAGCATTTGGATCATGTTTCTATGGTCAAAAAGACTTGAGTGGAATGCTTTGAGCAGAGGAGAATTGGCAATGAAATTATGACACCATGAAGGGAAGACCTAGCTAATTTTAGTAACAGAGCAAGAAAATATTTTCTTATATATGTAATTAGTTTTCATTTGATTGGAGTTCCATGCTACAAGAAATATTTTTTAGTTGTATATCAATTACATTAATTGATGAATGGTACTTGAAGCAATTGTATTGACAGTTGGCTACAAAATATAATAGCAATGAAATTTTGGTTACTCTTGGTACTATAATGTTGATGAAGACATGAGACAATACTGTGACTATTGGTTTGTAATTAGTCCTTGTAAAATACTAGAATTAGTGGATAGTACTTAGTCATGGGAGACCAATCACCATTAGTAGTAAATACCGTGACTAGTGATTGACATCTAATCACGGGAATCGATTTATCACGGTAAATACCATATTAAAAGGTGTACATCCTGTCTCTAAATGTATTTTTCCCCAGCTTTGTGATAGAAAATTTTGCATTAGTCAGGGTTGTCACCGTGATTAATAGATACAAATAATCATGGGAAACTGCACCGTGATTAATTATAATTAGTCATGGTATATATTTCCCGTGACCTTTACAATTAGACACGGAGGTATATATTACGGTAACTTTACCGTGACTAAACCTATTAAACACGGGAAACACACTTTTAAACACAGGAATACCCATGACTAAATGACCTTTTTCCTGTAATATTATCCGATTTAATATTGTTTTGATTTTTTTATACAACCGTTCAAACCAGAGCGTATTTCAATCGTTTAGATGACCGATTTATTGTCGAACTTAGTTTAACCGGCCGGCTGATACAAATTTGACAACCTTTGGTGCAATTTTAGTTTTTTACGACACAACATGTTTGCGGTGACAGACCCAAAACTAAAGTGGACTAAAAAACTCAAAACAAGTGCAGAAGTTAAAATTTCAACGTGGCTCAACCATGGCCTGTTCTATAAGTAGCTCTACGATCCTACAAAATTAAACCACAGTCGCATGCAGGCGAACATGTGTAGCAAATCCACTACACACATACGATTGATGAGGCAGAGGCAGAAGCATATTGTGGAACAATTTCAACCGTTGGCTTGAGGTTTCTAGAAGCCTAACTGCCATATGTCAGTGATGAGGTAGTCGCTCATTTTATTGATTTTTAAAGCTTAATTATTAACTATACAACGCTTATTGTATCTCTCGATCATTAAGAAATTCATATAAAAAAATATATTTCATTAAGAAATGGAAAATGCCCATTTACAATAAAAACAAAAATAAGATGGAAAACGATGGTGATTGATAGATTACTCATGGAGAAAGCGCATCTAGGAGAATGTGATATGAAATTTTGAATATTTTTTAAAAACTTTCTGATCGTATAACCATCCTAGTTTGATTATCACTATGTTTGGCAACAAGGGAGTGCAAATTCGAGGAGGGTGCAAGTTGATGGGCAAATTGCAGGAGGTACACATTGGTGGAGTGTGTAAGTGGAGGGGTAAATTATTGTTTGGATGAAAAAGTAGGGGTGCACGTCACTTCTTCTCTATACTTTGAAACGTAAAATTTGAGTTACAATTCGTCAAACACATTCAACAATTGGAGCAATTTGACAAACTTGCGATTCACGGACTAATTTTATATTAATAATAACTATACTAATAATAAAAAATTATAAAAATTATGATTTATGATTCAATAGTAATTATAGTATTTCTTACTATCTTAATGATAACAATCATCATTTACATGTTTTTATTCGAAATATAATTATTTTAATATTATAATAATATTATAATAATTCTAAAATTAATCTTACACACTAACCCCTTCGTCCTTCCTTTTCTCTCTTCTTGCACCCCAAATTGGGGGGTTAAGGGGAATAGTGATTAAACCTCATTTGCTCCCCTAACACTATTGCAAATTAACCAAATTGGGGTAAATGCATTGGGAATGACATTTACCCCGAAAATTTGCACACTCCTCTCTTTGCACTTCTAGCCAAACATAGTTACATGTACCGAGCTAGGGGGACTAAGAGGGGCTAAAGTTTATGTAGTGTACATTAGATGTAAACGAGTCGAGTTTAGTTAAGTTTTAATCAAATTTGTGTTTAGTTCATTAAAAAAATGTGTTGAGTTTGAGCCGGCTTATTTACTAACATATTAGTTCAATTTTGCTCGATTTCAACTTGAGATTGACTCATTAATGAGTTTACAAATTTGATTTCCAGTTTTGTTCGAGTTGATCACCTCATTCATGATTCTATATGATTGAACTTCTAACATAAACTCTATAATAAATTTATTACATTATTTATGAAGATTTAAGTTTTAATTTTTTTGTTTTGTTTTATTTTATCGTTGAATAGTTTTAAGTCTTAAAGTAAACTCTCGGTAATTGACATTTCCAAGTGCCATATGGATAGTAGAAAGTGTAGAACTGCGTGAGACATGGGCATGTGACTTGCGAGGTTCTTAATTGCTATTGGATTATTAACAAATAAAGAAAATGACAGCGACCTTTTGTAATATTGTAACAATTGATACTACTTAATTAAGTATAGTCGTCTCGTATTTAGGCTGAACTGGTAATATAAAATGCTTTCTGATGTAACACCTCCAGTTTTTTCAAAAAAAAAAAAAAATCATACTACTTGTGAATCATATATAATATGATTTTGATGCGACAGAAAATTGATTAACACGTATTTAATTAGGATATGAAATGACATGGGGGAGAGGATAAATTAACTCATTGGGAATAGAGATTATCAGATGAAATTAACTCCACCAGCACAATCATACTTATGAAATCATATAATATGTGATTTCGATTTGAAAAACAATTAATTATTTATGTACTGATGTGGTAATTAAGTTGTTTATTGTTGATTGGTCGTCTGTTGTTGATTTTCTTTACTCGTGAAGTTTGAGGGAAAATAGATGTGAAAAATTATTAATCCAGAAGTAGAGGTGACAAATGGATTAGATTTATGAATTGATGAATTGGATTGGGTGATTCATGGATCATATGGATTGGATCAAATGGATGGGTGGAGTGATCCATGAATCCATATGACATCCAAGTCTTGGAACAATATGTAAATTTTAAAAAGTTTATGTACTATAATGTCATCATAAAAAATTTAGGTACCAAAACATAATTTTTCAATAATAATTTTGGTATAGAAATAATTTTTAGGTACCAAAATGTAAAATGAAAAAAGTATAGGTACTAAAATGTAAATTACCATTGATCCATGAATCCACCGATTCATTGAATTTGGATAAAATGGATTGGATTAATTGTATATTTAAGTGGATGAAATGTATTAGATTTGTGGATTGAATTGAAATTGCCACCTCTACCCAGTGATGTCAAGATTCCATTGTTTTATCTTCCACATTGGTAAGTTATCAACCAGAAGATCTACCATGTATAGGGGTTGTTTGGACCGACAAATTGCAGTGAGCGATTTTGCCACAATCCCTCACCGCGTCGGATTTAAAAACAATCCCTCATTTGGGAAGAGGTCCGAAAACAAGTAAAATTTCTGGCACGAGAGATTTCAAAATTGGCACAGGTCGGATTCGATTTTGTGCAAGAACTTCTTCCCACCTCTCGCAATCTGATCTCCCCCGAACCCTCAAATATGAAATTGTCAATATGTTTCTTCCTCTCCCAATCTGGATTATGTTTGGGCAATAGATTTCGGTAGTTCTGATTCTGAAGGAGACTAAATCAAGCTGCAAAAGCCACCAGCTTAACTTCCCATATGCTTATGTCCATCATCATAACATATCGTAAGCAAGTACCAATTCGGCCTTATTGAACAAGTGTTCATTAGGGAAGGCCGGGTACCGTTGACTCCCTATATAAAACTATCGTACGCAGCGGCGGATCTAGAGGGAGTCACGGCCCAGCTCTCCCCAAATTCAAAGCTCGTAAATTTTTCAATTTTGAGTATATATTTCAATGTTTATAGGGTTACGGCCCAACCCTCTGCACCGCTTTTTAAATGCGGCCCAACCCTCTAACCTATTCTGGATCCGCTGCTGTACTAGGCAATAGGCGTGAACAATGACATCGCAATCGGCGACCACCGCCCCTGCTCCCCTAAGCCACTGCATGCCAGTGATGTGCGATCGATAACGGCATGATGAATACATACATGTATTTTATCTTTATCAAATGTCCAGCAATTTTGACTTGAACAGGAGATCGCTAGCTCTTTGAATTATACCGACTAACTTAGTGATAATATAGGGGTGACAAGCAACAACCAAATTATATTCTGAATGACGTATCGTAGAACATGATAAGGTCGACGGTAAGAAGGTAAAAGATGAACTACTCCAATGAATTTTGCATAGCTAGACGTCGGCCATTGCAACAAGTGGCTAGCTTGGGGGTTGCATCATGCAACTTATTAGATGTCAGCGGGATGGCAACGTAGACGGAGATGGAGATGAAGTCTCGGAAAAGGACAGGGGCGGCTAGCTACGTCCGTCGACATTGATTCATTATAAGTAATAATAACATAATAATTCACGATATTACGTCTTAAATAAATCACATGCATGAACGAAACCCAATCCCATTGTCCCTTTGTTAATTCTGATGCATCCTCGATGTTAACAATGTCAACGGATTGGAGAATGAACCATATGAATGGGATGGGAGCGGCTTGAATTTGTTATCACAGTTCCACAAATGGTTTACTTCGATCAATAGGATAAAGTACTAGCGTAATCTAGTTATTTTGGAGATTCTATATGATAAAAGTACAAACTAAATGTTATAATTAAAGATTTTAGGTACAAAATTGTAATTCCCCAATAACATTTTCGTATAAAAATTAAAATATAAGTATCAGGTTGTAAAATATGAAAACTTTAGATACTAAACTGTAATTTACTGCAATGGACATTTCGCGTTTGGACCCTGCTGCTAGGCTGCGTCAAAGAGAGCAACAGGAAATGCCGCCAGCCTCAGGGCAACACCGCTGGTCTGCTTTTCATGTACCACTAAAGTCAACGGAGAATTTAGGGTTTCGTTGTATTCACAGAGACTAGGAAGCAGGAACGACGACCAGGCTAAGAGTATATACCGATTACAGTGACCATCTAGCAAATGTTTCATTGTTTGGGATGGTCATGGAGTCGCGGTTCCAATCAGTAACTCAAGCAACGGTCACAGGTTCGGTAGCTTTGCTCAGCCATGATCGCTCGTTTTCATTCAAATACGGTGCAAGAATCTCGCTGCATCTCGAGTGGTACGTGTTCAGCCATTCGATCTCTTCAGGAACAAGCAGGCTGACATCGATCAGCTTTCGCTGATATGGTGCCTGCAATGCAGAAATATGCAAGAGATGATCAGCAAAAACCAATTGGCGCAAATTCTCGAATGGAAATGAAGATGCAAACTTTGAGTCTTACCCATGTTATGTGCTCAAATTCCAAGTAGCCCTTGTCACCAAAATTGAATTTGGTGTCGGCTTCGTTGACTACAAGCACATTCTCCAATCTTATGCCGAAGTTGCCATCCTCGTAGTATCCAGGTTCTGTCTCACAAGAGAATACGGTGCGAAATTCAAAACTCTATGTTCTGCTAAGGTTTTATGTGATCAAATAGCAAAAGTATCATGGTAGCGGGTGGCATTAAGACTAACCATCTGTTACTGTCATGGAAGCTTGGATGGGAACGTTGCGAGCGGATGGCCTAAAACTGATTAGATGAGGACCTGCATTATGTAGAATATGGGAAAATTTACAGGTTAATCTCTCGAAGAAGAATGGGGAAAACAAGAAAAGGCAACTGCTGTCGGTTGTTAGTGGTTCTACCTTCATGAACAAATAGAAAAGATCCGATTCCATGGCCAGTACCGTGGCGATAATCAAGACCGCTCTTCCACAAGGGAATTCGAGCAAGAATGTCAAGGGTGTGACCTTAATGTGAAAAAGAAAAATAATCGATCAACACAATCAATACATAGATACTACAAGCAGAAAGTCATGAAAAAACAGGAGCGAACTGGGTTGAGATACCATTGGTTCCATTAGGAAATCTCGCATTGCCCAGACCAATATGACCCTTCAGAACCTGTGTGAAATTTACCAGTAAGGAAGGAAAGAAGAGAGGAAAGGAAGTTATAATGTACTAATTAACTATAGCACGTCATCGCCATATACCGCAGTGTAGCACGCTTTCTCATGTGTAGATGGGACGCCAAAATGTACTGTCCGGGTTATGTCAGTTGTCCCATCCAAATACTTCATTGATCACGGAAAAGAAGATGAATGGAACATCGAGTTTCATAAATCAATGAGATTATTAAATAAGAAATGGTGATTCAGTCAAACTGTAAAAGAGCGCAAAGCATGCAAACCTGTGCTCCAGAATCAAACAGGTAGATCTTGTCTGGGTCGACTTCAGCACATGTTTCAGGCTGAGGCCCGTAATGGATGATTGCTGCATTTGGACCAACTGAGGAGATTGTAGGGAAACTCAAACCTCTAAAATGCTGCATGTACAACCAGAAGAAAAAAAATGATAATCACATCAAACAAATGTTATTACTGATGGACTTCTTTGCAAAAATAGTTTGTGGAACATGCCTCTTTTGATGCCCTAAAGCTCTCCAGCTTGTCGCTAACTGTCACCTCTGTCAGTTTTGTAGTTCTCCTGCAAGAGTACATTCAAGCTGTCAAGATATGCTTCCATGAGAATAACATGAAAATGCAAGAATTACGAAACAACTACATTTTCCAGAATTCACCATAGATATTGATGTACTTGCTTATTTTGATTATGAGGTCATCCAGGCCAAGTTAGAAAGAAAATAATCTGTCCCAGTTGGTTACATAACGATCTTAACATTATTGTTTCTTTTTCCAACTACCAGTTTTCCGAATTAAGATGCAACTTTTGAAGTAACAGTCAATGCAACTCACAAATCTTTTTTCTTCTTGTCTGTCTCCCCTTCCAAGAAGTAACCAGAAGCCCCGTATATATCTTGCATCTGCACCAGTAAAGATCAGATGAGTGCTATGCTTGGAGCCAGCCAGGCAATCCAATATTGAAGTACACCCACAGTCTTTATGGCATGGGAGCCTTGATCTCGGATTATACCTGCTTATCCAACCAGACAAGATATTGTACGACAGCAGCACCATCCCGTATGTGAGACTTTCTCAAGCCATCCAACTCAACTGGGTTCTACAAAAATCATCGAATCCATTAGAATGCAAAGAATTGTTCATCATTGTGCTTCTTACATGAACAGCTTCAACGGCAACAAAACTTACCATCAAAACATCTTTCAATATCACATTGGATGGACAATTTACTGGAATGAAAAGTAGGTACACAAACCTTCAGTGCTTTTGCAAGGGCCAAGGGTGACTGTTGCTGGAACACCTTCTCCAGATTCAGTTTTGAATACAAAGCATACGAGCAAGAGGAAGAGTCAACCCACACAAGGTCAACCCCAGCCCCTTCCGCTTCAGTTGTACCATTTCTAACTGTCTCCGCCTTAGGCTTTCGATTGATAGTACTCGTTGAGTCAAGCTGATCAGATGCAAGCAGTGCAACATCTGAGCTCACTGCAGTGTAGTCCCGGACTTCTATAGCATTCTCTTCCATATACGAGTTTACCTGCATGAAAATGCACAAGAAAATAGACAAGTGATAAGTTCAGTTATTAGTCTGACGCTGGCTAGATAAAAGTATTTCTCAAGAATATAATCAGGAGAACGAAATTTTCAGCCTCAAATATACTTAGGCGCATAAAATTCAACAAATAATCCAGGATTGAAGGATGCTACAGGCAACTGACCTCAGAAGACACCTTCCTTCTGTCTACATATAGGAAAGCAGAGTTGAGAGTTACGAGAGCAAATGCATGAACAACTGGACAGTATGGGACATCACTTCCTCGGATATTAAACAACCAAGCAACCTGTAGGAACAGCAGTAGCTCTAAAACTGTTTCTACTTCATAAGACAAAGATAAGGAGTAAGTCGAGTTGCCAAGAACATGACTTTCACCTGATCAAGGGTGGTAATAATAATACCACGAGCTTTTGAAGCTTTCAACTTCCCCCTCAAATCATGCAGCTTTTCTGCAACTGAACAACCAGTAAACTCCAGCGGCTGGACAACAACTGGATTTGCTTCATCAGCTGGCCGATTTTTCCAGATCTCGTCTACTATGTCCGTAGCAGTTTGGACTAGCTTCTGCTTTTTCTTTGCAAAAGCAGACTCCCATCTGTGAGCAGTGTCTGCTGATATACACCATGGATTGACACCAACAGCAGCTTCCTCTGGTAAATTCTAGATAAAGGACACAAGGATCAGAAGGGAAAAATAAATCAAAAGTTTACATCAAACCGAGATTATAACACAAACACAGCTAACCTAATAAAGAAAAATTACAACAGAGTCAAAACAACTTGCACTAAAACCAAAAAAGTACCAGTAGTTGGAAACACCATTAATCAAGTACATTGGTAGAGTTCATTGAAGGAGATAGAGAGAGAGAGAGTAGATCAATTGGAGAGCATATTAGAGAAAGCAGGCCCTTAATCCATACAACAACATCCTAACTACAAGCAAACAAGCAAAGATGGGTAACCCACCTCAGCCATCCAGACATCCACAGCAGGATCCTCGGCCATTCGCATAAGGGTCCACTCATTGCTCAGTTGTTGCTCAGCCTGCAGAAAGTAGCGCCCATCTGTCCATAACCTTGCCTCATCCTTTGTGATAAGAGCCAAACCTGGACAAAATCCAAGCAAATTACATGAAACCCATCAACCAGCATCCATCAGAGGTCAAATTAACTCGGATATGCCGCCAGGGCAGTCAAAGCACACTCATTTTAGAGACAGCATTAAAAACTGCATCAATGTGGAACTGGAACAGAAATTCCAGGCAACAAGTCATCGTATGGACTTGGACACACATGCAATTTAGCAATGGGAAGCAACTGCGCCTCCAAAGTGACAATCCATTCAAAAAGACCAAATTGATCGCCACCCCACATACTTCACAAATGAATCAAAACGGTTACGAAAACATATTCGATTGAAAGAAAGATCTGTAGTGAAGTTGTTTAGACTGACCAGCGCTTCCAGTAAAACCAGAAACGAATTCGCGCCTTGTATCCCTTGCAGATACATACTCGCTCTGTCAATAACAGCAACAAGAAAGCATAATGATAAGTAAACTCAGTTGTGATGAATGCAGTATGGCAATTATGATTCAGCAAACCAGATCAATTCCACTGATCCACGAAATATAACAGAGCGCGATGAGAGACCTGATGATAATCTTCAGATGGAACGACCAACGCATCCAAAGGAGGAGAGTGAGCAGCCATTAAAGACCTCAGAGACGAGAGTATTTCCGCCATGGTTCTGGTCCGATCGATTCAGCAGTCCAAGGAGAGACTGTAATTGGGGAAGACAACAGAGAGCTTGAAGGTCTTGAGATGGCGTGACCGATGAAATAGAGTTGGAACTAAAAACCAAATATGGGAATGGAGCGGTGTTTCCGGAGTTACTGAATCCTGGGAAGTGAACTAACCTCCTTTCACCGTCACGATGGTTATTCCGCCGTCGTTTGGCCACCCCACAACCACAATTGATTTCCTTTTCTTTTTCATTTGCGTGCTAAACTTTTACGGTGAATAGTCTTAAAGTTTTAAGTTTTTAACCTTACAAATCACATCCTAACTTTCCTTAACGCCGTTGAAAGACCAGTTAACCCTTGGACGACGCACGACCAACTCCTCTTTGTTCACCGTTGATCGCCCATGGAGCTCACCCTTCCGTCCGGCATCCCTAGCTCCTCCACCTTGCGGCGGCTTCGAAATCTTCCCCAAAGTCACACCGCGCCGTTCACACGGATTCAATACCCAGTCTTCCCTTTAAGCCCGAGACCAATGGACCGACCGTCACTGACGTCAAAATCCAAAACCCCACGCGCCGCCGCGGACAACGGCGCCTCTTCCATCTCCGCCGCTTCGCCGGTACCGGCCGGTAAAGTTTGGTTCTTGGTCTCTGATTTCGCCTCTCTTTTTTCTTTGATGGATTCTGAGAACTGGGTTTCTGTTACAGTTGGCGGTCGATTTGGGGAAGTGAAGAGGGTCACCAAAGAGACCAATGTTTTTGCGAAAATTAACTTGGATGGTACTGGGGTTGCTGATTCGTCTACGGGAATCCCATTTCTTGATCACATGTTAGATGTTAGTGGACGTCTGTACATCATCACTTTACACTTCGCAACTTCTCCCTTTTCATTTTTGGTCCACTGCTCGATTGCCTTTTTTTTGCTCTGGATTTGATGATGATATTACCCACCTTTCGGTTGGTTGATTGTTTGATCGATTGTAGCAACTCGCGTCGCATGGGCTATTCGATGTACATGTGAGAGCAACAGGTGACATTCATATCGATGACCATCACACCAATGAAGATGTTGCTCTTGCTATTGGCACGGTCAGTAGTTTCAGTTACCTTCTCCTTTTCATTTCTCAGTTGTCTGCTTTCATGTAGCCCACCAAATGTAACTTGTTGATTCAAAGAAAGTCTGAAGCTTGTCTGGGTATCTGTAGGCTTTGCTGCAAGCTCTTGGTGACAGGAAAGGAATTCACCGGTTTGGAGATTTCTCAGCTCCTCTGGATGAAGCATTGATTCACGTTGCCTTAGTATGGTTTCTGCGCTGCCCGATTAATTTGACTCAATTAAGAATTGAGTTAGAACCACAAGATTGAGCTGAGTGATTTATAAATTTGTATTTGTGTGTGTACTTGCTACATCTTTGTTGGAGGTGCTATCTGTGGAAAGCAAAAGTGGAACTTGTATAGGGCTAGAGGCAAGAATTTGAGAACTTGGTCAGGTGGTGGAATAGTCTTTAGGGTTGTTTGAGAGAAATAAGACGCTAATCTTTGACAATCTTCTTTACAGGCATTTGAATTGAAATATACGTTATTCTGACAGAATAGATGTGCAGTATAATGCTACAGGATTAGCTCATATTTTCGCACATGATCGTCGCAGCAGTACAAAATGCTAATTGGTGGTTTCTCTTATTCCAGGATTTATCCGGGAGACCATATTTAGGTTATGATTTGCAGATTCCCACTCAGAGAGTTGGTACCTATGACACTCAGGTGCTACGATTTCGTATCTTTCATCTCGATGCTTTAATTTGTGTCCTGAATTCGTATTAGTTCGCTGCTCAAGTTGGGTCTTGATCATGTAACAGAGTGCACGCTATCGTGCCTTTCATTCTGTTAACTTTCTAACTGGTGGTTATTTGCTCTTTGCAGTTGGTTGAGCATTTTTTCCAGTCATTAGCAAATACTTCTGGTATGACACTTCACATCCGGCAGGTGACTGTTCTAAACAATTCTGGAAAGATAAATTTAGTGCAGACTGTTCTTTGTTACATTACATCTACATAAGGGCATTTTAATGGAACTGGGTCGGAAATTTTCAGCTCCTGAATTTGCATTTATGCAGCTAAACAATCTGGAAAGATAAATTAAGTGCAGACTGTTCTTTGTTACATTACATCCACTTAAGGGCATTTGAATGGAACTGGGTCGGAAATCTTCAGCTCCTGAATTTGCATGTATGCAGCTTGCTGGCAAGAATTCCCACCATATTATTGAGGCAACCTTCAAAGCTTTTGCCAGGGCTCTTCGACAAGCAACAGAACCTGACCCACGACGCCTTGGGACCATACCAAGGTCTGTTTTTACCCCCAATCGCAGATAGTGCCTCTGCTGAGTTCTTTCAACAAACAGCAGTTCGAATTAGTTCTCTTTTGATTGGTTGACCCCACTGTGTCTACTCTTTTGGATGCTCCTGTGTGCAGCTCAAAGGGTGTTCTGTCACGTTCTTGACGAGTTCATTGCCATAGGTGAAGCAACAAGTGACTTTGGGTTAGCAGTGTGGCTCCCTGAAGCGCTGAATTTGCAATCTTTGGCGGTTATTGGGAGACTGTGGAGCAATCTGTGCATGTTGTGATCACAAGTACCAGCCAATTTGTAACTCCAGCCCAGTTACGAACACTAGCTCTGCGGCCGAATGTGAAATCATGGAATTCATAGGATGATTGCTTGCCATGCATTATAATTATGATGTATCGTCTGTTCTATAAGGTTTTTGGGGTTGTCAGATTGTAAGACAACTAGTAGGCTTCTTGACCTCATAATAAGTGAGGTTAGCTGCAGTGTTGTAACTGTGACTTGTTAAACAAATGGACCGGTTATAAAATGCATTCCACAAAATAGGCGTCAGAATCTGACGCAGCAAATCAATTCCAAAAGTCATTTACAACCTTTCTCTCCAGTACCCACACTCTGGTAATCACAGGGAATCTAAGGAAAAAATTGATAGCAAATTGCAATTTTGCAGGGGTGAAGTACAGTCAATTCTGCATATTCACAAATCCAATAAGCAAATGATTTCAAACTAACAAACGGGCTCACGATGATTTCAAATTAACCATGAGCGAGCCTCCTCGCAATCGTGGCCATATACTTGCCCTGGTGCTCTGCAAGTGCCAGCTCGGTTTCACTAGGTTGTCTCGAACGGTCACCAGCAAAAACTCCAGCACCATATGGCGAGGCCATTCGGATAGAGACCATCTTGACCATACCAGCACCAAAGGTGTAAACCCACGGGAACAAACAGCATGCCGTGGTGAGCCAACTGGGTGATTGCTGTCCATCTGGATAACCAAGCAGTCGAAACACCGAGCATTAGTGCACTACCATACCAGAAGATGAAGTTCGTTCCAGCTTTTAGACTAACTGTTTGAGCCGCGATAACCTCCGATACTTCGGAAGCCTCCCTTCACCCAGCGCCTGCCTACACACGCAAAGAGGAGGGCGCCTCGGCCCGTTAATCCTCCGACGCCCAAGTTAGTTCCTTAAAGAGAGAAGTGTTCTCAAGTAGTGATTTTGGTGAGAGAGAGTCCAACCTGTGTAAATGCTACCAACTGCCCCTATTTATACTCACCGAACTCGAGGTTGATCTCCTCCACGTCATTGTGCCCATTTAATGCTTTGTACTCTCTTTGTCAGACACCCCAACCACCTTGTCAGGCTTCTGACGCGTGACAGGCGCCCCCAGGTGAAGGACCACCAGCCAGCCTGGACTCCTTTGGCCTTTAGAGTTTTGTCTTCATGCGCCCTTCCTCTTATTTGGGCTTTGAGGTATTTTCCAGGACCCTTTTTTTTTGGGCTTTGCCCCCCAATTCCCTTGTCTGGGGGCCCAAACCCCTAATTGCTGGGTAATACCCCCAACAATTACCCCCCCCAGTTAGGCGCTCATGGCTTCATCTTTGAGCGCCTGACTGATTCTCTTGCTGAGGTCTGGTGTCTTCTTTGTTATGGGATGCCCACTTCTGGCGCCCTATGTTGTATTTTTACTTTTTTTTCACGGTTCGGGGGCGCTTTTGCCAATCCCTTTCGCTGGCGGGCGTCCCGTCTTTGATGATGCTCTTTGCAACATATGTTTCTTCTTTGTGCTTCGTGGGCGCCTCTTCATGGCATCCTCCGTGCGGGCGTCCCTAGCCCTTATGCCCCCCTCACGGGGGGGATTTTGATGTGAGCCCCACGTTTCGCTTGGCGGGAAAATTCAAAATTTCGAATATGGAGATTGGAAAATTCGAAATGGGAAATTTCGAAAATCCCGGAGAAGAAAAAGTGGGGGAAGCTCAAAAGTTCGCCCGTGATACTGACACGTGGCACGCCAGCGCGATTCCTGACGCGGACTTTCGCTGCCTATAAATACCCCCTCCTCTCTTAGTTCCTGTCACTTTCTTCCATTTGACTTCTCTATAAGACTTCGCTCTAACCTCTCTCTAGACTCTGCTCTGCCTTCTCTCCTGTCAGACTATGCTTGCGTCACCTTCCTTCCTCGTGTCCGTCCAAAATGTCGACCTCACCACAAGACAAAACTTCCGGACAAGGCGCCCAGGGAGCAGGCGAATCTGGTGCGGGTGCTTCGGGCGCAGGCGCCTCTGGCGCTGGTGGCGGGGCAAGGCGTCCAGCCCAAGGCGGTAAGGAGTCCTCTGTCTTTCTTTAGTTTTGTTTAGTTAATTCTAGTTACTTAGGGTAGGGCGTCACTTACCCCGCGTCTCCGTTGCGCCTGGATCGTTTGTTGGTTTAGAGGGGGCGCCTGCTTCGACCTCTGCCAGACCATCAAGCTCTTCGGCGCCCGGATTTCTGCCCGCGGACGGATCCTACAAGATCACCACATGGGAGAAGTGCTTTCCCCCGGACCATCTACCAGCGGAGACGGCCCATTTGCCTTTCGAGGTGGCCGGGCCAAAGCATGAGTCGACGGTCACTCTTGCGCGCGTCCATGAACTCGTCACTAGTCTGCAACTGCCGCGCGACTGGTGGTATGCGCCCCCTTCTCCTATCTCGCGAGTGGGCGTCTGCGGGCCCAAGTGGATTGGGGTGTACCAGGAGTACTTCCGATTCGGGCTGCGCTTCCCCCTCGACCACATTATGGAGGGGATTCTGACGATGTGCGGTTGCTCGTTGGGGCGCCTCTCCCCCTCTGTCATTACCATCGTAATTCTATTCAAGTTGAGGTGTCAGGAGAACAACGTGGAGCCCACCTTTAACTTGTTTAGGTATTTTTTTAAGATGGCGCCCCTCGACAACTGTTTATCACTTCAGAAGCGGAAGAAGCGCCCGTACCACTTCGTGTCACGATGTCCCAAACTCAAAGGTACATGGTTCAACGGCTTCTTCTTTGTGAAGGCGTATAGGGACTTATTTTTTGAGAGTGGAGGCGCCTTCCTTAGGCAGTGGGAGTTGGGAAGTGTAGAGGAATTCAACTCGACAGTTGTACTGTCCCCAGCGGAGAAAGAAGGCGCCCGCTTGATTTGCGCGGAGCGTGTGGACTTGCGTCCTGCGGAAAACTCCCATTATTGAGGCGTATTATAATGATGGTCTGTAGGCGCCTAGGTTGCTCTGTATTTTATATTGTTGTGTCTTCTTTGTACTTTAACTAACTGTGATCACCATTGGGCAGGGTCGGATTACTCCAGCATCGCCAAGCTGATGAAAAGTCGGCTTGCTGCGATGGCGGCGGGTTCGCCACCGCCTGTTCGCCAAGAGGCGCCTGAAACGGCCGCCAACCAATCACAGGCGCCACCAGCTCCCTCGAAGAAGAAGAAGAAGAAGAAGAAGAAGAAGAGGGCTGTGAAGGGAGGCGTCCTTCGCGCGAAGACTGCCAGCGTGGCGTCTTCCGCCCCGGAGAAAGGTGAGAGGGCGCCTAACTCCGAGCCAGCGGAGCAAGAAGCTAACTCTGCTGAAGAAGAGGAAGAGGAGCCTCTACTCCGTCGGGGGAAGAGGGCTGGTTCTCCCTTAGCCCTGCCAGCAAGAGGGCTGACAGAGGCAAGGGAAAAGTGGGTGCCGCTCCTGCTGCCGGCGAGGAGGCGGAGGAGGAGGAGGAGGAGGAGGAGGACGCCCGCTATCACCTCAACGAAGAGGGGTGTTATGTTGGCCCCGATGGGCGTTGTCACATGTGGCCGATGACATGGCGCCAACAAGGTGACAACAAGGCTGCACATGTGTCATGCATGGAAGACTAGTAGCATAGAGATGCTCCTAGGATTCTCCACCTTAATAGAGAGCTTAATGGTGCACTTATTAGCTACATTATGGTAGTATTTATAGAGTGCATAATGGGGGGACTTAATGGGTGTATTGATGTAGTAGAGGGACATTATGAGGGGCATTGATGCCTTGTATGAGGAGAGGCCTATATAAGGAGCCATCTCCCTCACTTGTAACTCATTCCATCATTTTTTAGAGTAATACACACTAGAGAGTTCTCCCACTTCCTCTGTCTTGTTCTTGTTCTTTGCTTTCAAGTGAGTTGAGAGAAAGGCTGCCTAGCGCTCTAACGGATTTGAGAGCTAGGGCCGCACGATCGAGAGTAAGGTCGTGACAAGTGGTATCAGAGCCTGGTTCGGCTTTGTGCTAGCAAAGTTGAACCTGAGCCAGAAGGAAAGGAAGAACCTCACCAAAAATGTCGGGATCAGACAGCGGCGTTACCGCCGAAGAGAGGCGCGGAAGGGATCCAACCAAGCATCCCAAGCCAAAGGGTGACAAGTCAAGCACTCGTGATCCAATGGCGGCACTAGAGAGGCGAGTCTCTCGAGTGGAAGTGAAGTTGGCGGAAGACATCACTGCCATCGAGGATTTGGGAGGTAACTTCGCCCAAGTCCAAGGCGATGTTCAAGGAATGGCTGGTCGGTTGATAAGCTTGGAGATCAACCATGATGGGATGCGGGAAGAGCTTGTGGCCCTCATCAACAACACCATCACCGCCTCCATGAACAACGCCCTTGAAGTTGTGAAAGAGCAAGTCCAGGCTGAGCTGGTCGGCGTGAAGGAGGAGATTGCAGACCTCAAGAGTGAGGTCACTCTCGTGAAGAGAGCCATGGCTAGCGGACCAGCCCCGGTGCAATCCGTCCCACGTGCTGATGTTCCAAGACCGAAGAACTTCGGAGGTTCAAGGAACGCGAGGGAGTTAGAGAACTTCCTTTGGAGTCTTGAGCAATACTTCAAGGCATCCGGCATCCAAGAGGATGAGGTAAAACTTCGTACCGCTCCACTATACTTGGTCGATGTTGCAATGGTGTGGTGGAGGCGACGTGAAGCGGACGTCGAAAGAGGTACTTGTGTGATGGTAACGTGGGAAGATTTCAAGAGAGAAATCAAGAGGCAGTTCTACCCGGAGAACGTGGAGTTTGAAGCCCGTTCGAAGTTGAGAAGACTCACCCAGAGGGGTGGAGTTCGAGAATATGTGAAAGAATTCTCGGAGCTGCTTTTAGAGATCCCGGACATCACGGACAAGGAGGCCATGCACGGCTTTCTTGATGGGCTGCAACCATGGGCCAAGATGGAGATGCAACGTCGAGGAGTGCAAGACCTTGCGACTGCCATGGCCACGGCGGAGTCTTTTGTTGAGTACAAAAGGCAAGAGAGCAGCGGTAAAGAGAAGAGTTCGAAGCCCAACAAGGGTGGAGAACAGCAGAAGCCTTTCAAGGAGGGCACTCGCGCTCAACAACACCAATGTGGTTCGAGCAAAGGGGGTAAGTACGAGCCAAAACCCATGTCTTGCTTCCTTTGCGACGGACCACATCGAGTGCGGGATTGCCCAAGGAAGGCGAGATTGGCAGCCATGGAAGCTCAGGAGGAGGAGCCCAAGACAGCGGAGGCCAAGATTGGCTCGATCCGCAAGCTTGGCGCGGTGAAGACCGACGTCAAGGAGAGCAAGCGTGGGAGGTGCTATGTTCTGGCGCAATTCATGCAAGGCGAGTCAAAAGCCTTGGTGGATACCGGTGCCACGGACAACTTCCTTCGCATCGAGGAGGCAAACCGGCTGGGTATTGCTTATGAGAAGGGGCAAGGGAGGCTCAAGACGATCAACTCGGAGTCCATCCCAATCCATGGAGTTGCTCACAACGTACCAATGAAGCTCGGCGAGTGGGAAGGTCTCATCGACTTTTCCGTCGTCACCATGGACGATCACCCAGTCATCCTCGGCATCAACTTCCTCGACAAGGAGGGAGTGCTCTTGAAGCCCAACTCCAACACGATGTGCTTGGAGAAGGAGGGGGAGTTTC